GCTCTCGTGACACACAAGAAGAAAAGATTAACAAAAGGTTTTATTGTTCCCGAGAGACAGAGACGAGAACGTGTTCTCAATCAAAGTAGTGGAGAAGAAATTTGTTTCTTTTCACACAAGTAACTAAGAAACCCAAGAGAGACAAAAGTGTTTGTCTAGATCTGGACGCCGTGGTGAAGGATTCGTTTTTCCAGGTGAATAGATGTCCTTTTCTCCTTCGGATTTGGTTTCTCTTCTCACCTCCCGTTGTCTTGGGGAGTTGGGGTTTGCTTCAAGGACGAGTTGTGATGGTTTTTCCCACGATTGGCTCTTGGTTCCGCTTCGTCTTGTCTCTGATTTTCTTTAACTTATGTCTCGTGTTGAAATTATCCTTTGTTTGGTTTTGTGGTTCTTTGGTTTGTTTAGTGGCTAACTTATCTCTGTTTATGGTTTGACCGGGAGCTCTAACTTGGATTTTAGACATACTTTGGCTATAATCTCCGATTTCTTCAAAATTAGTTATGATCTTTGAATGCTAAAATCAGTCCTTGAATCGGGGTCTATTGGAAGGTTATGGATGGGTTATTTGCCATTGTCTCACCTTGATTTTTCTGATTGGGGGAGCAGTAAAATAGGTCATGATCCGTCTTCATTCCTTCAAGAAGAATTAGGCCGTGCGGTTTGTCTACACTTCATATTCCTTTGGTTCAGGTTGGCTCTTGGTCATCGCCATACTCATTGGTTTGTTAGTTTATATTTAACTTGTATTTTATTTCCGAGTTTGTATATTCCTCTTGTTTGAGCTTCGATCCCCTCTTTTGGACTCTGCTCTTGTTGTACGATCCTTTATAAGATGTATCTGATCAATGGTAAAATCTAAATCTTTAGATGAAAAAAAAAAATTTTGTTTGAGATCGAATCCCACCGGAACTAGCATTCTATCCCGATCCAGTTTGTGTGCGTGTGGATACCAGTAGAGGCACGACATTTGGAGTGCTAAGCAATCTCGAATCATTCGAATCCATCTTTCCGCTGCGAGAATATCCAGGTATTTTGAAAACCCTAAGATCTAAATT